GTGCGTGGCGGGGATCGTGGTGGCAATGCTGATGATTCGCAAAGGCGATGTTCACCCGACGTTGCCCCGAGCGCGCGACAGGGGTCTGCGCGTGGCACGGAGAACAGAGAATGTTTTTTTTTCCCACGGCGATCGAAATTTGAGGATGGCAAAACGCCACAGGGCGATGATTTGACTTTGGATATTGAAAATTGACAATTGTATTCATGGACATGCGTTCAGGTTAAGTTTTAATGGTTTGCATTTTGCAATTACTTTTTCAACCAATATTATGATTCGAAAAAAGGATGTTGTTTTATTTGGCGGGGGGGGCGGTTAGATCGTGTAGGTATAATATATTCATACATAATTTTTTTTTTACTATAACCCTCCACCACCCAACAGAGCCAAACCAAATCAAGTTGTCTCATCGTGGGAAAACGTGCCAATTGTTGTTTTAGTTTTTCAGCAAACTGCCAGAATGTTGAAGATCCCAAGCAACACTGTCAAAATGTCGCGACAACTTCATTTCGTTGGCTCTGTCGGGTACGTACGTCCGTTGAACTTCTTTCGCACCGTACGTAGCCAACCGTGCTAACCGGAGGTGCGGGGGATGGACAACCAGCGTATAGTTAAATACAAAACTGACATCAAATTCACACAATCTACTCCAAAATAAATTATTATGCATCATACACTATATTTGTTTAAAGAAATACTGGATTTCTAAAAATGTAATTTCATGTGTTTTGCTCACGAATATTATGCTAATCTGATAATGATAAATGATGCTGTAGCAATGTATGCGTGTGAATTAAGATACATAAATAGGCATATGGCTGTTCCTCCAAGTACAAAAAAACAAATATTTACTCCATCAGCACATGACCTTGCCAGACAAGTGTTCATCAAGCAGCAATTGTTTAAAAAAGTGAACTCTCTATTTGGTTTAGACCTTTTGAGCCTCATCAATAGCCATAATGTTCACCAATAATATAATCTGTACAAATATGCATCAAGTCCCCATCTCAAAATGTAACTTTGCGATTAGTAGCTACTGCTACACTTGAGGGACAGAAAAATGAACAGATAAATTGGGGGACTTATGCAAGTTAAGAGTCATCATGCAGTTGCTGTTAATAAAGTAAGCGGGGCTTGCACAGAATGTATCATGGCCAGAAGGGATGATGGCTGGTGGTTGGGTGTGCGCTTTACGAGTTTTTGTTTCCTCGCCTGGTATGCAGGAGGTCGTCGGTTCAATCCCGACCTTGACGCCTGTATATTTGGAGTATGTATGTTCTCCCCATGGTCGCTGTGGATTTTTCTCCGGGTCATCAAGTTTTTCCCTCTACGTTTAGAAACATACGTTTAAATGATTTGGCTGCTATAAATGTCTCCATGATAAGCCACTTCGTTCCGCTATCATTTGTGGGCAGGTCGCTTCTGAAAAAGAACTATTTAGCTCAGTGGACCTTACCTGATAAAATAAAAAAAATATTTTTCAGTTTAGGTTGAGACCAACACAGAGTGGCAGCCAAGGGAGGGAAACATGTCCGGCAAAAATGTTCACTAGAAGTCGAACAAAGAACTCAGCTCAGTGTGCAGGTGCTCGAATGGGTCACTACATCGCAAGGCCGTAAGAGATGGCGGTGGACATGGTGAGGCCTTCACCCAGCGGTGGACTGATCATGGCCAATGGCGATGTTTTTTATTAGAAGTTTATTTAAGTGGCTGCTCAAAGGGAGTTTCTGCGCCGTAACCTCGGCGACAAGTCCCCGAGGTTACGGCGCTTTGACGAGCCACACTTTGCGGGCCCTCGCCGCTAAAAATCAACGCCGCCAAAAAAACAACTCGGGGACAATGACGACGGCGGCGCTCGACGGAGCCAAGAACCCGCGGGACACGCTCGGTATTTCGGAGGAATGGTCGCGGTAAATCCCGAGCCAGGAGAAACGCACGCCTGAAGACGCGATTGGCGCGTAAGCCTCACCCCCCCAACGTCCCGCCTCCGCAAGCCCCCGGGCCGATCGGCTCGCAGCTCGGCCGCTCCACCTGCTAAGCCGCGGCGGTATGGAGGCCGCGGCTAATCCGAACACGGTGATCGGCAAAAACAATGGGATCAGATCCCTGAAGGCAGGTGAGAGCCTGCGTGATCCAGCCTGCGCCTAACCTTGATCTTCCAGCCCGCGTATGAACCCATGGACAACGGGATTAACTGTGGCCGTTTAAGGGGTGGGGGGGCGGCGAGGCGGCGGTGGCTATGGTGGATGTGGAGGCCGGAGACTGGGTGGAGGGGGGGGGGAACCAGGCGAGGGATGCGCTGACGAGACTGCGAGACAGTCGGGGGGGATGGTTGGCGGGTGAGGGGGAGCGCGGGCGGGTGGGGATTGTGTTAGAGAGCAGAGCGCCGGGCTGGAATTTTGAGGTTTTTCTCGCCAGTTATTGGTGATCTCAGTGTCTTTACTACCGCACGCTGCCGGGATTATCCCCTCGGGGTTGTTGTTTTTTTATCTTGCTTCGCATGAGCCAAGCGTGTTTAGAGACAGCGCGGCGGAGCTGCCGAGGCATTGCGTGTCGGAATATGTCGGTGCGCGACAGCGTCGGAGCCGTTCAGGCGTTGGCAGCCGGAGCAATTCTCGTGGCACAGAAGCCGGTGGTCACTTTCCTGGGCGAGTTTAACAAAAGCCTGCAGTTCGACAAGCATGCCCAGGAGGCCAACCCCTTCGCGCCCGTGTCTCGCTCGGCATCCAGCAAGACGGACACCGTCGTCCGTAGGGTCATCTCCGACGACTTGTGCACAGCGGTGAAATATGTATTCATAAAAACCAAGAGAGAATCGTGCATTGCTGGCAAGCAAAAGAAAAACGCCAGCAACGAACCAAAACCGGAGACTCTCACGAGTTAAAAAACAAGACTCTTACGGATTAAAAGCATGTTGTCCACATAGCCCTGGTGCTGGCAGCGTAAATGACTTGCAAGAGTTGGGGGCTTCCATTATGTCATCAATTAAGTTTGCATCTGTAGCTTCCAGTAGCCAAGAGCAGGGGTCTTGGCATCCATTGCGATGCCTGGACTTGCAAACCTCTGTCGTACAATCATTGGAAGGAGAATATTTCAAAATAACAGCAGAGGGAGGAACTACATGTAAATGGATTGTCTTGAGTAGTCTATTATTATTATTCTTACACAACTGAGAAAAAAACCTCCAGGACTAATAAATGTCCCGGGAAGATGTATGGATTTCCCCAACACAGCAGGTGCCTACACAAGAAGAGGATGATCCTGATTAAAACCAGGATATGTGGCAACCCCAGCAATGCCGTGAGACAGCCATTGGGCCTACAAGGGCTTGGCAAACCCTTCTCTCCCTAAACCCAGAAAGGAGACTCTCACATTTCAGGTGGCTCTATCCCTCGACGGTTCCAATTCCGAGTTGGCCAGCGCAGCGCACGGACTCGGTGTAAACCCAGACTAAGGCACCCCGCCGGCGCTGTGCGTCTCTCTCGCCGTCGACCTCAATCCCAATCTTTCGCTCCCTCTCACAGAGGTGACTTAAAGCGGGCAAGGCCGACGCAAAGCCACGCTGGGCCTGCCGAGTCGTGAGCAAAATCGCCGCGGTGTTGCCGGCGGGAGGCTTCTAAATGGCAGAGTGACATCTGGGAATGCGAGCCTCCGAAGCCCGAGGCCTACCATGCTCGTGGTAAGGTCACCGGCAGGTATGAGACCCGACCGGTTTCAAATGTCCAGGTGGAGCTTTCCGTACGATCGGCCTTCAGGTGTGTTGTGTCTACCCTATGAAATTCCATCTCGGGCAGCTTAGCACCACCGTTATTAGTTTTAGGGCGAAAACTATTCAAAACGCTTTAAGTGAGGATTTTCCAGCGGCACATTGTTTTTCGGGGCAAGATACCCTTGAGCAAAAAAAAAAGTCGGCTGCTGGTCTTAAGGGGGAACAATGCAGGAGCCCTGCAAGGGCAAAACGCAGTTTGCAGGTAACCCTAGCAGCTGCACAGGCATTGGCAGAGAGTTATTTTAATTAAAACTAAATGCATGTTCCTTTTCTGTCAGGCCAACTGCCCTGAATGAGACAGCGCACACGGGATTTAAGCTTTGTTTCACTGTAGCGCAAGAATTCGGTTCAAGTCGATGCGGTGTTTCTTGTTATAAATTTAAAGAAAAGAAGAAGAGAAAATCCAAACAAAAAAGTTAATTTATTTAAGTCTTTTTTTTTGCCGTTGAGCGGCACTAAAGGAGCTTTTTGAGAAGGGGGGGGGGGCGGCGGGAAGTGTTGGGAGTGGCGCTCGATCGGAACGGTGGCGCAGCAAGTCGGCTGCCTGACAAGTGTGCAACCGGTCACCACTTCCAATAACCACACGAACAAAACCCATCGCGTTTCACTCATGATCATGATGATGACGATGATAAAATTCCAGCTCTGACAGTTGCAGCATCTCCGTGTGATTGTCACGCAATGTAAGGTACAAAACAAATCTGACCCGAGTGGTGAAGGCGGGGAACATAGAAGTGCAGTACAACAATGGAGTTTGCTACAGTGCCCCTCTGACACCCACTACGAAGTCCCCGCAAGCCCTATGACAACCTGTTTGTGCATGGTGGTTGGCAGGGCTTACTTTCTGACTGAATATTGTACGGATCGCTGGTAGACTGGAGTATGTGGCGCAGAACTACTGGTAGTAGTATCCACAACACCATTTGGAGGTTTACTGTATGGTGGTGTGCCAGATGTGGAAATATTTTCTGGGTCACAGGATGAAATGGTCACCCATCCAAGCACTATCCAGGATCAAACCTGCTTAGCTTCCGAGATCATGTGCATTCAAGTCGTTGTACAACAAAGGCCATAAGCTGTGTGCGTTCATGTGCGTGCATGTGCGTGAATGTGCGTGCATGTGCGTGAATGTGCATGTATGTGCGTGCATGTGCATGTAAGTGCATTTGCATGTGCATGCGTGCATGTGCCTGCGTGTCTGTGTGTGTACGTTTTGCACGGCACAACGGACCTTGCTCGCTGCTGTTGTCGCCGCTCTGCGAGGCGAGGCCGCCGCTCGAGGGCCCCGGAGTTCCGCCGGAGTGCGTGGAGAGGACGTCATCGTGGTCCCGGTTCCACGATTGCATCTGCGGGAGTGTGGGGATGGCAGAGGAGCGAGCGGAGGGGGGCGTTAGGGCACGCACGCGGAGAGACGCGTCCTCCGAGCCCCATTGCTGCAGGTCGGTCGACTGCTCGGATTTTCTTTGTCAACGAGCTTCTATTATTTTCTTACATCCACTGTTGTGTCATTTGTATATCCAGGGACTTGCATAGAGACCCATACACATACATAGACTTACAGAGAGATCCATAGACTTAAGGAGCTTCTACTCAGCCGCAAGTCCCAAAATTGTATGGAGTCAGCTGGTCAGATTTTTCTCTCTTCTGTGAGCGTCGATTCTGTCCCGCTTCTCTAGTCCGCATATTTCATTCCGAAACTTCCTCCTATCTCACCCTGAGTCTCTCCTCCTCCTTTTGCCCTGCCCCCTCCACCCGTCCCCCGTGACATACTTCATCGTGCTGGTCACTGCGTATCAGTGAAGCGGATGGTCGGTGAAGTGGGCGACTGGGACTAGTTCAGATATCACTCGCCACTGACGTTCGCTTTGATCGGGAATCAAAACTGAGGTCGTCACCCTGGGGAACATTGGGCAGCACGTGAACAATAACACCACTACTCCCGCCATACACAATAAACTCGATTTTAAATCATAAAAGATTGTTCTTATTTGTGTTAAACTCTTGGGAAAATATGGAGAACTATTTAAGTGGGTTTGTGATTTTTTTTTTGGTTGTAATAGGCCTTATTTTTAACACCATTTCCACTCGTTGGATAGAACCCCCCTTTAGTTTTGTATCCTTTCAAATCTCTTTCCTTGCAGCCTTTAAGACTGATCTCATTAAAATTAATTCCTCAAATATGCCAATGTAAAACATTCAATCAAATTATCTCGCAATTAGGAGCAGACAACACTGGCGTAATTGGCGCGTCTCGTTTGACCTTTGGCACGCGGGCGAGAAACCATTTAGGAGCTGAAGGATTCCAGTGCAAATTTGATGTTACTCGCTAAACAATTTGAGCAATTTAACAACGAAAAAAATAACAAGGAGCGAGTAAACAGATGAATACATTGATGTCACATTACTTAGACGACCCCGCCCCCCGTCCTCCCCCCCCCAACAACACTTCTCCCGTCATAGCCCACCACGGAGCGAGCGCGTTTCGTAATTAGAAGTGGGAAGAAGAGATGATACACGGTATTGTGCCGGTGTTAATGGTATACAAACAATCTCTCCCCGGATCACACCCCTCTCCAATACCCAGCTGTGAATGCCCTCGCCCCAACACCTCCGTTTCCACCAACTGAGTGCACACGAGTGGCACGGGGAAAGTGTTTTTGTAACAACACAACAAGGACAAAGATCCCCCGTGTAGCCTTCACAGACTGTTGGGGCAGGCGCTGTTAGCGAGCACCTATGAAGGCCGGCACGGCACACGACGGAGTGGGTGGCCAGCACCACATAAGGCCGCCTTTGTCTCCCCATTGGCGATGTTTACACACCGCACCAGATACTCATTTGAGGCTGAGTCGACCTAGGGGAGGCCCAGGACCGGTTCAGATAATCGTCACTCGTGTTGACCAGGAGCGGGAATCGAACTCGGGTCGCCGGGTTCGTAGCTCAAGCGTGCTAAGAGCTGCACAAGGTTTCACGCACACCACACACAAAACAAAGACATAGACATACACACACATAGATACACTACACGACAAAGATCCCCCGTAAAGCCTTAACAGACTGTTGGTGCAAGCGCTGTTAGCGAGCACCTATGAAGGCCGGCACGGCACACGAGGGAGTGCGTGGCCAGTACCACCCCCGGCCACCTTTGTCTCCAGAGTGGCGATGTTTACATACAGCACCAGACGCACACAGACACACCGACACACACACACACCGACACACACACACACACAGACACACACACACAGACACCGTGATCGCCGCCGACGTACTCCACCAGCTCGCGATCATCATTCGCGCTTTTGAAACTTGCCGAAACAAAACGGGAAGCACTCGGATGTGCTCGCGCAAGGATTTGCTTTGGCAGTGGTGCAGAAGCGCAGTGAACAACAACAACAAATCAATACATTCGTCAATAATACTGTGATCTTAAAAATATATAGGAATATTAGGCGACGTTTTGGGTCATGGCCCTTCTTTATGACATTATTACATGAATGTAAAATTGACAGCCCTTTGTCAGTCCATTTCTGTGCAAAGGCTTCCCCGTGCCGTGCCACTAATGGCGGTTGTTTGACCATACTTCACCGCACTGGTGAGTGCGGACTGACAAAGGGGTCAGAGGCGGCCTGATTTTAGGCGTACCCCGGGGGGGGAATCGAACTCGGTCTCTCCGAGTTCACAGCGCAGAGTGCTAAACCATCGCACCGCCACTCCACAAATAGAGGACAATACCCGACATGGAAAATACAACGGCGACGATCGGCGACAGTTCGGCTAAGGCGCGCCGCGCCACGGAGCGGGACACGTGTGCCGGCGGCGCGCTGTTGCGGAGTTTTTAAAATTTACACGCTCGGTCCTCGCCGCTCGTTTGACATTTGCTCCCCTTAGTGACCGCATCACTCACAGCGGCGAGGCCTGCCCCGACACCGCGCAGCCATCTGTCTCTCTCTCTCGCTCGCTCGCTCTACGTGGCAGCAGCAGCATCATCTTGAGGCCCACTTCGAGAATCAAAGCGTTTCCTGCCAACGGCCGCCGCTGACAATTAAATTATTAAAACCGTTAAGCCGGAGTGGTTTTCTGCTCAATTGAGCGCGGGTGCGGCGCCCATCTCCCGCTTGCGGCCCCTCAAGCAGTGGTGGAAATTCTACATTCCTATGGCAGTGTGAAGTCTTTTTTGCGTAGATCACAACCCCTGTTGACGCCCCTACAAAAGTGGTGGTTACCGAATTCTCCGGATCATAAGACGCACCCCCAAAGAAACCTGTGCTCGAGTTAAACAACATCCGGTCACATACACACACACATCTGCCAGATCATAAGACGAATCTCACAACTTCTGATTTAAAATATATATAGGGGGCAAAGGGTGCGTTGTTCTCCACAGAATAGTCTTCACTTGACCAATCTCGGAGAGATGAATGACGGAGGTGACCCCCTCGACAGGGATTTGATCTCGTAACCTTAACCTTCCTACAACGAGTCTGTCGCACTCAAATGCTGCGGTCAAAGCAACCGAATCATTAAGCCGCGCGCTCTGTGTTTAATTCACACTGCGGGGCGACGGCAACACGGAGTCATGATTGACCTCGGAGTCCAAAACAAATTTCGCCTGCCGATACCTGTCGCCAAGACGGGTTTAACCAGATCGGTGGAGTATAACCTCAACCTGCCCCCTTAAACCGGTGACTGAGAACTTTTGACAGCGCGACCCAGGCAAGCGGGAACATCGGGGTGGGTGCCCAGAGGGGGTCACGACCCCGGGCTTACAAGCACCTGCCTTAAACGCGAGCCTCGAGTGGCGACGGGAGCCAGTGTACGATATATATATATTTTTTTGTAAACGCCCAAAATTCACGCTTGCCGATCAAACGCTGCGATGCGCCGCGGCCGAACAAGCGAGAGCCGTCGCCGCTTGGAGCCGGCGCGATCACTCGGTGAAGTCGATTCTTGTTGTTGTTGTCATCGACTGCTCGGGTGTGAGATGTTAACCGCCTCGCCTGGTATGCGGGAGGTCGTGGGTTCGATCCAGACCCTTACACCTGTATATTTGGCCTTTGAATTTTCTCTCCGGGTACTCCGGATTTTACCGGCACTTTTAGAATCAACATCAGGCGTTTAGAATATTTGGCTGCTATAAATTCCACGTGACAAGCCACTTCGGTGAGCCATCATTTGTGGCCAGGTTGATTCTGAAAATGAGCTACGTAGCTCAGTGGGCCTTACTTCCTGCCTCCCAAAGGGCGGGGAAGCGTGGATGTGAGGCTGTCGAAGCAGAGTCCAACAATGTGATTTGCTCCGCGGTATTCTGCTGACCGCAATGCAGCATCCGCAGCAGCCTATAACGACTTGTTTTGTGCACGGTGGCTAACCATCCATGCACTTTCCAGGCTCGAAACTCCTCCTGCTTCGCTTCTTAGATCCGACGCGAGTGATCGGGGTGTATTTGGGCGATGCTGTTGACTTATGGGTCTCTTATTGGCCATGCCAGTTACTCCCCTGAATTGTGACAATTCATTAATTCGCGTGGACAGGGGGAATCATTTAATTTCAACCAGTTATAGAAAGGAATACAAAAAGATCCAAAAGATTAATCAAAAAATACCCACTACATTTTCCTCTGTAATCAACACACAATCTGCGTGAACGTTAATAAACATGCATTTTGACTGTACTCGAATTCCTTATGCATTGCCGTGCAGCATTGTGGGCGAAGGCATATAACCGCATAATTTGAACTCCAACTCCGTTCTGTCTCCACATGCAAATATGTTTTAAGGCCATCAGCCTGTTGGCTTTCTTTCGTGGTCTTATCAAGCAGCGGGCATTTGTTCAAACCAGCACAACTCTGGATTGAGTTTCAACCTTCTGGGTCTCATCAGCAGAGACGGAGCTTATTAAACAAAATGCTGCTGGGGTTACCAGATGTTATTGGCAAGAGTACTCCATATAAACTACGGGGAGACCCACCCATTCGACGGGGAATCTCTATAAACACATCTTTTCTTACTCGGGTTACTGCCAGAAAACGTAACGCTGGCCTCCCTCAGCCTCTGCATGGGGCCCTGCTGCAAAAACGCACAGCCACTTAATTACCACCAGCGACGATCTCCAGCGCAAAACGGACATGTGGTGGGGCAGCACTCGCATCGCGAGTCCTGCCACTGTGTGTTTTCTTTTTTATAGGAATATATTTTTACGTCTCGTGGCCTGCTTATTGGCGCTGCAGCAAGCAAAGCTACGAGAGCAATAACTCTCCCCCCCTCCTCCCTATCTCTTTTTGTTGTTGGTCTGCTCCTCCTTAATTGAACGAGCCCTAATGACGGCTGTGCCATGCCGGCTTAAT